GACGTGGGTTTGAAAGGAGAAGATAGCGATGGTGTTGGAAATGAAAGTGTACGCGTACGTAAGCCTGGCTTAGTGGGAAAAGATCAGGAGACTGAAAATGTTCACGAGTCGTGCGAGAAATCTGTTGACCGAACTTTAAAAAATTATCAGGAAGGTAATTTTGGTTTTTCGATTTTATAGGTGATTGGTCACTTGATCTGAGTGGTCACGCTTTAGCTGATTCGATAGCAGGGACATTTCATAATTGCGAAGGTGTCTCTGTCATTCAGGGAACATGGTTTAAATCACTTCTGCTTCTGATGCTTTTTGTTTCGTGTATCAATTTATATCGTGTTGAGGCTTAATAAAGAAGGTTTTTATATTGCTTTGGTGGAAATTTTTACTTTCTTTAGTCTTATTATTTATTACTTTGAAAATGCATTTGACAAGGTCCGGGTTTTGCAGATGGAGAAGAAAAAAGTAATGTGGAGAAAAATGCTGATGTTATATTCTTAGTGGGTCAGAAACGAATCGATGAGGCAGAAGATGAGTGGTCCCCTTCACGAAAATCATCTCAAATTAGCAATAGCAGTCGTCGAGAGCAATCTGTACAGCGTAAACAGTCTGAAATCTATAAGCAGATTGGCAAGGTCACATTTTCAAAACCTTGTAAATTTCTCTTTAACTGCTTTTAGTCATTTTATTGTCATCACCTTTCAGATTGACTTGGTCCCTATGTCCCTGAAGAAATTATCTTTTCATGTGGCTAAACCTTCTCATATTAGGCGATTCCGGAAAGATTCTATGTTTGATATTTTTGTCCAAATTCTTGGTATACACTTTCCATTATGGCTGAGTGTGATAGCGGTTTATATAACATTGGTGGAAATACTGAGCATGAAATTCTGTAAGTTTCCTCTTCCCTCAGAAGAAGAAATTCAAGAGTAGGATGCTTCTTATTTGTTTTCTGGTTTTAATTGTCTACGAGTGCAAAAGACGGAGAGACTCTCAAATTTATAGTTATTTTAAGTTTTTCGCTCTGAATCAGATAAAGTTTTCATTATTTTTTTACATAAAGATTTGTTTTTCTTCCATTTTGATATCTTATATTTTTGTATCACTTTCCACGTTTATTATGCTCATCTCTTTCGCGTAGATAATTACTACTGGTCCTGGAAGAAAGTGCATTATTTCTCAGTCATGGTTTATTTTTTAGTTCATTTAGTGAGTGTTAGGAGGTAAACGAGTTTTTTTTTCTTGTTATTAGTGATAAGTTTCTGAAAATAGCTATTACACTATTTTACATCTACTTTTAAATCTGCTACAAAGTTTTCTAAATTTTTTAATTTCAGACGCAATGTTTTATTATTACCATCCAGCTTTAAAATTATTTGCAATGTCCTTAGCGGTTTCAATCGGTCTTTTTCACGAATGGAAGCCTACTTGTTTTGTCAACAACGTTTTAGGCGTTGCTGCTGCCTATGTGATAATCGCTCGTGTTCAGGTTAGACATGTTTTGGGTTGGTTGCTTTCTGTTTGGTTCGTTCTGTAATACTTCGTGACGAATTCAGAGCATTACTTGAATAAAGTCATAATCTCTTATTACTACATATTTCGGCATATTTTTATTTATTTTTTTCAATTTTGGTGAAAGCAATAAGTTTAGGTTGTTAGCTATGTTGCTGGAATAATCTTTCTTAGTGGAATGGTTGTCTTTGATCTATTCTGGATGTACGGAATTGACCTTCTTTGTAAGTAATGGGCTTTGTTTAAAATTATTTCTCACTCATTTAAGTAATGTAGTTACGTTTTGTGTGTAATTGGTTTTATGCCGCAACAAGCAGTCCAAGTGCTTCATGCTTGAAGCTTTCAAAATCAATAAATTTAGTGGACCTTGATCTGAGAGCTGAGAGCAAATCCAAAAAGTTTTTAAGCTGGATTTTGATAGGGTATGGAGCCATTTCGTGTGCAAGAGCTCGGTATCGTTTGATTGAGCGTGGTTTCGCCTGTAACTTCCTTATTTGCAATACTTCTCCTGTAGAATCATTTAATTTAAAAAGAGGTTTAAAAGAGTGTAGTTCCTATTTTTAAGGACATATGTATTCAATATTATTTTTTTCAGCTCTAATTACATTTTAAAGTCTTCGTTTTAGAGCAGCTTTTGGTAATTAGAGAACAAATGTTTTTTCACTCTTCTGAGAATATAAAAGCTTGAGATTTTAGAATTTTTATATTGGTTTGGGTAGTTATGGCTTGAAGATGAGGGAAAGATTTTAAAACCGTTTTTTAGTACCCGCTGTTTTTGAGAAGACAAATTACAGTGTTAGTATTGTTTAAGCTTCAAGATTTTTTTGGGTTTTGAAATTAGTTAGTTTTATTCACTTTCACTTTGTAGCTTATAATGCTGGATGGACTTGCTTAAAACTTGTATTTGTGAGTTAGTGCACCATGATAGAACAATAAAAATTATTTCAGCAACCGTATCGAAGCAAACTAATACGCCTATAATGTTAGTTATACCTTGGGGAAATGAAGGGAGAAAAGAAATGCTTTCGGTTGTAGACATAATTGTACCAGGTTGTTAGCAGTTTAATTTGTGTATGAATTTTTGCGGATTACTTTGTAGAAAGAACACCACTAAAATGTTTGTAAAAATTGTTGAACCTAATGCTATAATTCTGTTTCAGGAGTATTTCTGAACATTGTTTTAAAGTTCGCTGACATGTATGATTCTCGGGCTTTCTACCCCTCGTTTTATGCAGTTTTGTTCGGATTGACAGTCACTTTTGCTATAGCTCTTCATAGGGCTAAGTCCACTCCTGCTATGGTTTTGCCAGCATTATTTTCAGTTTTTACGTCTCTAGTTAGTGTTCATAGAGCAATTGATTTATGGCGGTTTGAAATTAAGCACTAGTATTTGCCCTTTTAGAATTTAATAGTTATGTTACTGATTAATAAAATATATGTTGACTGTAAATGTTTGGCAACATTGTTGACCAATTTATGCTCTGATTATTCAATTTGAAAAGACTTATATTGTACTTATATTTCTTGTAACATCGTGCTATGTTGGATGCCTTGCCTCTTTCATTTTGAAGGCTAGGGAAATTAATGTTTCTATTCCAAAAATCAGTTTTTTTTTTAGAACTAAAAGTGCACTTTTTTATAACTAATTTTATTGACTGTTACTTACCGTTAAAAAGATTCAGGATTGTATCTGTTTTTCCTGTTGGTTTCTGTGATTAAAAGTTCTTC